ATTTAAAGATTGCATTCATGATTAAGATGCACTGTATAGACTATAGTTAGAAATTAGAATTAATGTTTTGTGCTTGTTTTGTTATAGCACTTGCATTATTTACACATATGGCCATGTATATCTTTAGAGTGTGAACTGAATTAGTAATAGTCCTGTGAGACCTGGATCTCTTCCTGACGAGGAAGATGGCGAGCCTTTCCCTTTGAACCGAACCACAGCCATTCCGAGTTGGCCCAGAAGGGCAGGTTGCTCTTCTCTCACAAACAATTGCAACAGTGCGGTAGGACGAAATCGCACCAATCACAAACTTTTGACCTGTTGGATTTGACTTGACTGAACACTGACTATTAAGCCGGCAAGACTGACATATCTGAGCTCAGATAGGATTCTGATTGTTATTATTATTGCTGTCACTGTATTTTATTTTATGATTTCATTCCTGTTCATGAAATGCTGTTAAATTGTTGCTAAATAGTTCAATACAATTCAAAGCAACTTTACCCGTGGCTCCAGTCATTCTTCTTCACGCAACTCACTTTATCCTTCCTACGAATCTAGCTATTGGCCCATTCTCTCCATCTTACTTTAACTTCCCCTACCTTATCCTGTACTTGGCTACACTTATATTTAAGTTCTTTTGGTTATCTTAGTTCTTTCCTGTCATGCCTAGGTTGCTATAGTTTATTATTTCTTAGATTTCCCTTGTATTTTCTCCTCTATATCCCTCCCTCGCCCTTCACGTGTTTCATGTCTGTGTGTCTTATGTTGTCAAATTCATGTTATCATGTCTGCGTCTGGTTATGTTTCCTTTTTTTTATTTTGAAGAGGTCTTGTGCTCTATGGTCAATGCGTTTAGTTTTACTCTTCCAAGCTATAACAGAACAACCTGACCAGACAGCTCATAATCCCTCCACTGAGCTCCATGAGGACATGATGTACAAGGTTAGGGATCCCCATTAAGGAGTACCAGGAGGAAATTGCTCTTCCTATACGGAGGATGATTTCAGAACTCCAGTGGTTATTTGGCTCGCTACATCCTCTAATTCAGGATTTCCTTGTCCAACCAGAGCACGTCCAACCAGAGCAGCAGCTTCAGTTCACTCTGCTCGAGGTCAGGTTGGCCTCCCTCTTCCCAGAGTAAGCGACGCTTACGCGGCTGTTGCTCTGTTTCAGCTGAGCAATCAGTAGTGGTGAGCAAGAATGATTGTTTTTCTCATGTTCCTCCCAATCTCGCGAAAATAATGAACAATAAATCTACCCTTTGTTCAGCCACTTCCATCCTCAGCTGAAAGTTCTGGTAAGCTCATTCAGCCAGCAGAGGACATCTTGCTAACAAAGCCTGGACAGACCATTTGCACTGCACACCCCCAGCCACTGCATCCCAAGCTGCGTGCACTGTGCTGCTACAGTTGGCTCCGCCTCAAACCAGAGGTCTTCGCACCTGTTGCATCTGTTCTTGGTGGGGGTTCAGGAGAACCACGCCAGCACTTTCTCATCTCTGCTGGGGGTTCTGGAGAGCCCCTCCACCCTCATGCTACATCCGCTGGGGGTTCTTGTGAGCCCGTCCAGCCTCATGTCACGTCAGTTGGTGTCTCAGATGAGCCCGTCCAGCACCACCTCTATCAGGTGATGGCTCTGGTGAGTTGATTCAGCCACCTCCTGCTCCACCAACAGTAGCTTCAATGCCGTCACCTGCTTTACCACAGTCTACTCCATCACCTGCGGCTGCCACGCCACCTTCTGGTCCTGCCTCACCTGGGCCTGTCAATCCACGTCTACGCCCAGTGGCCTTCTCATCCAAGCCCATGTCAAGCGCACCGTCGCCGTCCTCTTTCTAGGCCATTGGCTGGACATCTTCGGCCTCATGAACTATATTACCAGTTTCCACGTGGCCAGCCCCCTGAAGTGTGCTGTTTTGGACTGTTGCACTGTCGACCCCCAGGTTGGCCCCCTGAACTTTTGAACTGTGGACTTCTATGCCATCGACCTCCGGGTTGATCATCTGAACGGGGCTTTTGGATTTTGCTTCTATGGAGTCAGGGCCAGCCACCTGAACTGTTTTGCCATGAACTCCTGTCCACTCACTTGAATCATGTTCCTGGGCTCTTATGCTCTTGTCTTGTGACTGAGTGCTCCAGATTGTTTATTTCATTGGTTAGTTTCAGCTGCTGTTTGCTGCTATAGTTATAATCTAGCTGATGTGGGAGAACTATAAGTGTCACTTTGATGCAGCCATGAATCTGACTTTTTTTTTTTTTCCATTTTCAAAGGTTGATGCATCAGTTAATGTACTTAAAAAACTGTCAGGGGCTGGGTCTTTGACCCAGCGGTTTGTGTTAGTTATTTATTTTTGTTATGTTTATATTGTTTTATTCTTGTGCTATTCTTTAAATTAAGGGTTTAGTTGAATTATTTTGTATTTTGGGATCATTTATGAGATAGATTAGGTCCTTTCATGTCCCCCGATTTAAGTCTGTTCTGGTTTTCTGTGTCATGTATTTCTTGTCTTTGTGGTTTCATGTTGTCAAGCCTGTGTCATGTCCACATCTCTTTGCATTTCATCCTTTGTTTTGTAGAGGTCTTGTGTTCTATGATCATTGTTTTAGTTTCACTCTCCCTGTGTTGTTATGACGTCCATTTGTGTCCCCGTGTGTTTCCACTTCCCCTAATAACCTCATGTGTGTATGTAGTCTGTGTGTTGTCACTTAGTCTTTGTCAGGATGTCTGTTCCTCTCACCGAGTTTTGGTACCTCTCATCATAGCCTCATAGTTATCATAGCAATCTTATTTGTTTCACAGTCTCATCACTGATTTGTCAGTTATTTAGTTTTGCCTAGTTTATGTTTAGACATGTCGCCTTGTATTTTTTTTTCTCCTGTTTCAGTCCAAGACTTGGCTTGCTTTTTCTTGTTCAAATCCTGTTCTTCTATGTCTACATTTGGGTCCTCCACTCAGGCTCCACACAGTCTTCTCAGCAGAAATAAAGAGAAAGGTTGGTTAAAGCAAAAAGAGGCAGAAAACCAGAACAAAAGATTATACAAGAGAAATAAATTAGAGAACATCAGACTGAATAAGTGGAATAAAGTGAAACAGTAAGCAGTGTTGGGAAGGTTACTTTTAAAATTAACATGTCGGGTTCCGTGTCGTTCATGTAGCCGAAAATTAGCTTTGCTTTGTTGTCTGGGTCAACTTTGCTAGCGAGAGACAGAGAGAGGCGTTGAAAGGCTGCTCCAATGAAACTCTTTAAGAGGAAAACACGAACACGGTGTACAGTCGAGTCTTAATAGCTTACTTACAACTGGGCTCGTCAGGCACTCTTTTTGGCTGCAGTGGTTATTATTATATTTACATGCTTCCATCTCTCGTTTCTTCTCGGTGACAACTTGTACCTTTCCACTCCCCTTTTTCTCCCTCCTCGCGCTCACAGACACATAACGTGTATGGCAGTCCATTCTCCCTGCAACACGGACTACACTGCCCATGATGCTACATTCTTCAGGGCTATGCCTGCAACACTCTGCCTATTGGCTTCATATTTTATACTTTATGAGCTTGAGACCCAGGCATTAGAGCCTCTTAATGCGCGTTTTCTTTGGGTTTCCACCAGCGTGGAAACTGTCATGGACCCGGTTCCAGGGACTCGGGGTCCATGAGCAGTGTGGATTATTATTATTATTATTATTTGAGGGTTATGTCTTCTGCACTGCTGCTGTCCTGTGTTCCTTGCTTGTGTACTGGCAGGTGTGTGTGAAGGTGCAGTTGTGACAGGCACTTTCAGGCCTGGTGGGTGTGGCCCTGTCAGCTGACCGGTCACACCCAGGAATCTCCACATAAACCTGGCGCCGATCAAGCCTTGTCAGAGGAGCTAAAAAACACTATGGCTGAGAGCTCCTCGACGCTGGATTGTTGAGTGACTTCCCATCAGTCTCAGTTAAATGTGTAAGGTTAGTGCCAGTTTGCCGTTATGTTTAATACTCACGGCTGCCTTTGTATGCGTGTTTCCCCAGGGGGTTTGTGGAAACCAGGGAACAGCACACGGACGGTACACAGGGAACGGAGCCGGAGCACAAGAGTGGGGAGACGACACGGAACGGGATTTATTGTTGTTTGGATTTACACCACTGTAATTAAACGCACTGCCTTCTTCATCACAATCACTCAACTCACTTCAACAACATGCTGACTCAGTCATTTCTGCACGTTTCCTTGTGTTACAGCCCTGACTTCAGTTCAGCTGAGGAGGACAGGAGGGAGGAGAGAGCAGTGGTGGAGGAGGCAGTGTAGAAGTGTAGTAAACTTCCAATTTTTGGTCCCCAGAAAGATGTTAATACCTGTCCCCACATACTCGCGCACACACACAAACCTTTGACTATCAGCAGCACAGTTTTGTGTCTCCAAATTCTGTTCATGCGGTTATCCCTGTTGCTGACTTCACAGCTGTATTCTCCACTGTCCCAGTCTATGGGTTGTTTCAGGGTCAGAGTGAGGTCTCCAGTTTTCAGCATGTCTTCATTCATCTTAGTTCGTCCTCTGTAATACTCATCCTGTTCTTCAGGCTGGTCAGAGCCATTCTCATACACGTGGACCATCATTTCACCACATTGCCACTCTACTACAACATCTCTAGGCAGGTTTGCTGTAGTTTTAAAGGGCAGTTTGATCAACTCCGCTCCCTCCTGCACCTCCACCTGACAGACTGAGATGACAACAAACACAACATGAGCTGTACAGACAGCAGCAGGTTTTCAGGGTTGTAGAGGAAGCTGAAAGAAAGAGCAGAGCAGAAGGTAACATGGGACTGAAATCTTTCAATTAAGTGATCAATGATTAAATCAATTTGATCATTTCAGGTTAAGGTGGCCACAGAAACTGGATCAGTACAGTGTTACATCAATTCTATTTAACTTAATTCACAAAATCACATCAATATTTGCCTCAAGGTGCATAATACTGCAAGGTAAAGACCCAACAATAATAGAAAGAAAGCAGAGAAAAACCCCCCAAAATCAAGATCTATATTTCACATTTATTCAGTCTTTGAATCGGCACACAGGAAGCGCTAAAGTCACATGACCCCCCTAATTGGATGATTAAAGTGAAATTTAGCCTCATTTTACTGTTTAAATCTTTGTCTCTAACAGAACTGTGAGCATCGTTTTCTGCCGTCACCATGTGACCTCTCTCAGGTGGTCACTCACATTTAACTCTGTGATTGTCTTCTTTTCAATAATGGTAAAATGGACTGATTCTTATATAGCGCTTTTCTACTTTCCCGAAGGTACTCAAAGCGCTGTATATAACATGCCACATTCACCCAATCACACCCAGTCTCACAAGCCCTTTCTCTATACATAGTGCTTTCTAACTACAATCACCCACATTCATACTCGGATGGATGCATCGGAGAGCAAGTTGGGGTTAGTATCTTGCCCAAGGACACTTGACATGCAGACTGGAGGAGCCACGGATCGAACCACCAACCTTCCGATCAGAAGGTGACCAGCTCTACCTGAGCTACAGTATTACTTATCCTCAGTAATACTGACAGCAAGGAGAAGGGACATTAATTTAAGTATTGAGTCTTTACTCGGAGAAGTGACAATTGTTTCTGTATGTATGACCTAATACGACTTATTTGTCTAATGTACAGCATAATACAGATCAACAAGATCTTGTAGATCCAAATGCAGAACAGTTAACTTAATGCAGTAAGTCAAAGGAATACAGAAAGTTTGAATGTTTGCAAAGTAGGGAAACACAAATATAACGTGTATACAGAGAGCGAATACTGGGTGAATCCCTGACCTTTGACTTTGAGATTAACTGCTTTCTTGAACATGATGTTTCCCTCCCTGCTGTAGACGGCGCAGGTGTAGATTTTTGTGTCTCTGTCTGTGGGGTATTTCAGGGTCAGACTAAAGTCTCCAGTTTTCAGCAGGTCTTCATTCATCTCTGTTCGGCCTCTGTAATCCTGATCCTGTTTATCTGGTTTATTAGAGCCATTCTCATACACATGAACCTTCCTGTATGTGTCCATCCACTCCACTTTAGCACCTTCAGGTAACTCAAGTGTGGTTTTACAGGGCAGCTGGACAGACTCCTCCCCTGAATCCACCACCACCTGGGGGACTGAGGGGACAATAAAACATGTATAAGATGTACAGACATGAACAGCAGGACTGATGATAACAGAGCCTCCACTTCCCCTTTTTTTGTTTCATCACTCAGATTTGTGATTTCCATGTGTGTTTATGAGGAATATCAGGAAACTTTCACAGTTCTGGTTAAAAGCAATCATGTAGTTATTGTGACTGAGATGTGAGTGCTAACAAAATAGATATATTTGAACTGACTTAGCTTCAGCTGTATGCTAAATGCTAAACAAACATTGTGAAAAACTCATGAAAGTCTCATGGATGATGTGGACCCTAACAGTTCATCTTCTCTGAACTTTTACATTAACCTCTGACCTCTGACCTGTAACTACAGCACTGACCTCTGACAGTGAGCAGGACCTGTTTCTTCATCAGGATGTTTTCCTCCCTGCTGTAGACAGTGCAGGTGTAAGTGTTTGTGACTGTGGGGTATTTCAGGGTCAGACTGAAGTCTCCAGTTTTCAGCAGGTCTTCATTCATCTCTGTTCGGCCTCTGTAAAACGGATCCTGTTTATCTGGTTTATTAGAGCCATCCTGATACACATGGACCTTCCTGTAAGCATCTCGCCACTCCACTTTAGCACGTTTAGGTAAATTAAGTGTGGTTTTACAGGGCAACTGGACAGACTCCACCCCTGAATCCACCACCTCCGGGGGGACTGAGAAGAAAATGAAGCATGTATAAGTGGAACAGCAGGACTGATGGTAACAGGGCCTCCACTTCCCCATTTCTTGTTTCATCACTCAGATTTGTGATATGTACATGTAGGTTTATGAGGGGTATCGGGTAATTTTAATAGAGCACTGACCTCTGACAGTAAGCACCACTTGTTTCTCAAGTAGAATCTCTTCCTCCCTGCTGTAGACGGTGCAGGTATAGCTGTCTGTGTCCCTGTCTGTGGGGTATTTCAGGGTCAGACTGAGGTCTCCAGGTTCCAGTAAGTTTCTTTTCATCTTTGTTCGGTTCTTGTATTTATCGTCCTGTTCTTCAGGCTGGTCAGAGCCGTTCTCATACACGTGGACCTTCACGGCATCGTTGTCCGTCCACTCCACTTTAGAATCTTCAGGCAGGCGAATTGTGGTTTTGCAGGGCAGCTGGACAAACTCTACCCCTGATATCACCTCCACCTGGTAAACTGAGAGAATAACAAAGGACAACATGATTAGGGCTGGGTATCGTCATTGATTTTCAGAATTGATTCAATCGACGATTCGATTCGTTTTGAATCAGAAATTTTGCCGTAGGCAGTCAGAAATATTGTAATTCTGATCACGTATCAGTACATGTACCATTTTTTAATATCTATAGAAAGCTGACACTTGCAAGACTCAAAGGTGTAAGCATAACAGCAGATGCGTTTGTGTCAAAGTAACTGAGGACAAAACAGAAAAACATGGCCTGGGAGTTTATTGCACATGACCTTAAAAATATTCTGTAGTAGATCGGAAGTGAAAGAAAGGATCTGTCCCTCTGTGGACTGTGCAGGTGTAGGTGTGTGTTACTGTGTGGTATTTCATGGTCACACTGAAGTCTCCAAGCTTCAGCAGGTTTTCACTCATCTCTGTTCGGCCCTTAAAGTCCTTGTGCTCTTCTTCAGGCTGGTCAGAGCCGTTCTGATACACGTGGATCTTCCTGTTATATTTGTCCTTCCACTCCACTTTAGCATTGTTAGGCAGGCAAACTCAGGCTTTACAGGGCAGCTAAACAGACTCCACCCCTGAATCCACCTCCACTTTGTAATCTGAGAGGACAACAAAGTACAACATGATGACTCAGCAGCAGCTGTGATGGTCACATGACCTCCCTGTCCCTCCTTGTCTTCTAGTCTCAGTCAGATTGTGTCTCAGTTTGTTCCTGATGTGTTCCTGACTCGTTCTTTGGTAACTAGTCTGCAGCGTCCTGTAAAGTGCTGCAGACATGTTGGATGAAGAAGCACAGACAGACTGAGCCTCC